ATTGGGGGACCCCCAAAACCCCCCCCCCCCCCCCGCCAAGACTCTCACAGGCCATAGAAAAAGCCTTTGCAGCTGAAGCCTAAGTCTTGCCATCTTTACTCGTGACTATGGTGGAAGGCAGCAGGGCTGCCATATTCTTATAACTAGAATAATTAATGTTTGCTATTCATTCATAACATGAAATAAAAAGAACAAGTTTCCACAGGAAACTTATTCAAGATGAGGACTTCTTGAGAATAAACATTAAGACACAGAGAAAAAAAAAAAACTACTACTACATAATTTTCATTAAATTTAAAAGAAGAAAAATTACCTCTTAAAATCTGGTAAAGAAAAACTTTGACATGATCCGAGCTGAGTGGCTGAGGAGAGACGATAATCTTATGGAGGTCACTCTGCATCAATTCAGTGACAACATATCTTCAATTTATTAGTTAAGGCAAAAGCAGAAAGTCCGGCACATAATCTCTTGAAACATTTACTCTAGCTCCTAGGAATTTAAGCTCTTACGGGTCAGAGCTATAGAGTAAAAAAGAATAAAGCTTCTTCAGAGGTCAAGTCTCCAGACTCTTACAACAATGGAAATAAAAAACGGGTTGTGAAAGAAAACAGATTACTCAATAAAGTAGCGTTTGCATTAAAGTAGTTGCTACAGAATTATTCCAAAGTCAAATCAGAGAACAAAATAAAATTTTAATATAATTAATGGCATCTTGAAACCTTTAAACTTTTTCTCAAGATCGGTAAGCCACAGATTACAAACAACTAAAGTAGCATCTTCACAGTGGACATATATCAACATGATTTAACCAGACAAACTGCCAAGCGCAAGCCTGTGAAAGTCAGTTAGCAGAAGTACCTTGCAGGTTGCTACACGATCAGTAATGCAGAATTTTAGAAATACATACACTCCCCTAAACCTACCCAGTACCCACTATTTTACCTTCTCAAGCATCGCACACCCATGCATACAAATCCCGGTCATCACACCTCTTCTGAGTTATAACAGGAGAAGAAAAAGAAAAAAACTCAAACTTCTGTCTGGAGGAAAAACTAAAAAAAACCCAGAAACCACCATTTCACGTACTTGTAGACATGCAGAACACAGCGATAGTCATGCTCACTGATAATTTACACAAATACTTGAAGATACAAAGAGTTACCTATGCTGTGGCTTATACTAAGGTAAGGTGTGGATTAAGAAGTGTATTGTGTTTATTCAGGAAGCACTAAAAACATAACGTTTCAAAAATGGAGAAATATGGAAGACACAAGCAGCATATCTTAACCCACAAAATCAGTACCATAGTGTCGTTTTCCTGAACACGTTACAGTAATAAAACACGTGCAGAAATCATTACAGTAAATACTCGGGAGCAATACTAGAGACGTATGCTGCCTACGAGTCGTGCAGGGCGGTTAGCGGCAGACGGCTTTTCCTGCGGCCAGCGACGAAGAGTCTACTGAGCGGAGAGAAGCTGCCTCTGCCGTACTCTGCTCCATTCACGAACACCACCGGTAAACTGAGTTTTGATTTTGGAGCTGTGGTTCAGAACAGAGTGTAAAGCAAAACCACAGCACCTCAACTTTCAAGAAGGGTTGAACTTGCAGTACTGAGAATCTTCAACTTTTACAATAAATAAGCTTGATAATTAAGAAAAATTACTGGTTTAAAAGCTACCTTTAGCAGTCATATTTGAAACAAAAATCTCTGGTATTATTATATTTGTGGCTGAAGAAGGTAAAACACGGTAGCCCTGTGTTAACTGAACTTCTACTTTACAGCAAGGTATCAAATGTCCCCGTGTTAGGCATTAAGCGTTACAAGTCACGCCATGCCCTGCAACGTTAAAAACAGACAAAAATGCGGCAGAGAGGTGGTGCGCGCTGCCAAGGTCAAGCAAAAGATCAAGGAGAGAGTTAGAAACAGAACTGCGTCTCCTGGGCCCCAATCTCACATCTCCCTTGGTGTACCAGGTTCATCCACAGTTCAAGGTAAAGCAGTAGTCAGCTCTCAGCCTCCCAAAAATCCAAACTGAGCATCTGTTCGAATCGGCAACGGCTCAGCCGCCCTCCTCCGACCGGGCGCTACCTGAACGCGGGAGCAGGCACAGGTTTACCTTCCGCGCTGCAGGAGGAAGCGGGGCTTTGCTGTGCACGAGGAACTTACACGCTTCACTTCTACTTGTCCTCCATATCTGCCATGCCCAAGCTCCGGTAACTTCATGAACTCGTCGACCTCGTGGTGGTATTTTTACGAGTGTGCCGTCCTGACCTTTCCTCTGAAAGCAAAGCTAACTAGGTCAGCGCGGAGGGTTTTGTTTTGCAATCTCACCATTATCCTGCAGGAGCCTATCAGTACGTTCAACGCTCTTTACAACCAGCTCTGCTGCATATCAAGTCTGAAATATAATAGCAAACCCCGACTTCAGGTAAGATATTTATCTCTTGGTCACACAGTAAGAAAGTCAGCTTCAGCAGAAACTTCTACTTGTTCTTACCATTATCACCAATTAATTGGCAAAGGTCAAGCTGCACTTATAACAATCCAGAGAAAGCCTGCATTTTCTTTCATCTCTACCTAACCAATGTTCTCCTTCCATCTGTTGCTCTGCAAACCCTATCCGGCCAAATCCTTATCAGCCAAATTGCTCATCTGCCATCAGCACAGCACACAAAAATTAGTTTATAAATTAAATATTGCCAAATTTTGGTGAAAAAAAAAAAAATTGCATTCATAAAGAATTCATAAAGAAAAATCCCAACCCTGCAGCATCATAATTCCTGGTCTTCTGATTTTACTTTGCCTTTTGCAAAGGTCCTCTTAAATATTTATACTAGCCTTTTAAAATTTGGGTTTTACCTTACGGCTGCAACAAATCTTTACATTTCATTTTTGATGTAAAATTTTTTAAAAATCCAAAAGCATTACTCTGCACTTTATTATGGTAAGATTTTTGTTTTGCTACACCACAAATCCTCCTAAATCTCAATCCCAAGCATAATGTCTCCCAGATGTCTCAACTAGTTGCCATGCCAACTAAAGCAGCTTAAATTAAATGAGGGCCTGAAATGGCACCTGCACCACTCCAGGTCTGCTGCACATTAAATAAAGCTCTCTTGACAGGGGCTCAGAGGTGCCATTAGCTTGAACAGCAGCTATCTGATTATTGTCTCTAGATAATTTAATGAGGGTCTCTAAAACAAGAGCAAAAGCAGCACTTGCTTGATGTTCCTGCCTTTTACAAATGGGGCAGATTCTTAAACAGCTGGTACCCAGGCGGGTCAATGGCTTTACCCCGGCCAGTCCTATAAACGTTTAGCAAAAACAAACCACAAAACCTTATGGGATTTCCATCAACTATTCAAACAGGTACCTGCAGTTTTCTTTTTCAAGTCGAATCATAAAATATGCTGGCTATGAGGTGGTCACTGGAGCTGTAATATGAAGCTAAGCTGAACATTACTACCAGATAAAAATTGCTACTGACAGCAGTAATTAGTTAAGTAGCTGTATAAAATTAGAACTACAAATGTACCAATTTGCTTCAGAACAATTATCAAGGCAAATGTGTGGCACAAAAGAACTTCACTTACTCTGTTGACTGGGAGACCTGCTGAGTTAGTAAATTTTACAAAGTGACAAGCAAATTTTAGAAAGGAATAAAGTACACTCTCTGATGTGGTATTCTCAAAATGACTTGGATCCTTCTTTATTAGGTCTCTGCATACCTCAAAACTCAATTCTATAGACTGTTTTTCTGGGAAGAGGCCAGCATTCTGTGAACAAGTTCTGGGGTAGGTGGATTATCTGGATGCCAGCAGTGGAGTGGAGATGTCTATCTGTACCATACTCTAAGAAACACGCTTTTTAAAAAACAAAGCAAAGCAAAACAAAACAAAACAAAACTCTTTCTTACATATTTCAGGATGTTATATAAAACAGGGACAAGGCGTTTTCTCCTATTTTAGTATATTTTAGTTATACTTGTTTTTACATTAGGATCATATCAAGCTTAGCTTGTGATGCCACCTCTGTTCTCTTCTAACTCTTTGCAGACTTTATAGCTTCCTAGTAGAAAGATTTCTACAACATCGTCATTTCCTGTCAACACCCAAAACATTAAAAAAAGACCTGATCCATGTAAAAATAGTGCAACAATTATTCAAAAGAATCTCAATAATCTTATGCCCATCTGAATTATTTTTTATGCTTAAAATTTGCTGACTATTCCGTTATAGGCAAAATTAACTGATATAAATACATTTGCCATCAAGTCACCACTAATTATGCGATGTAGAAATGACAATCTATGGCATGTGTCAAAGACAACAGACAAGCAATAGCAGAAGATTTTTGGATGGATTGGAGTCGGGGGTGGGGGGAAAAGAGTTTTTCATGCCAGGAAGAAAATACTGAAACTCCATCTGAATCTTACTTCTGTGTAAGGTAAGGGCTTCAAGGGTCTTGAGTTCCTAATGCAGAGAAAATTGAGCCTTTCAACCTGAGCTGGGGTACGATGAGAGAAGTGCTCAGGTGAAGCAGCAGCTCCCCCCTCTCCACTCCTGCTCAGCAGCTGGAGTTCCCAGCCTTCCACAAAAGCACCCTGTCATCACTCAGCTCTGAGTTAATGGCGTTGGTGTTAATCACCTGCAGTTTAGTAGTACCGTATTTTGTATTATGTACAAGAAAATCACTACTTTTCACGTCTAAATAATTGTATCTATGTAGTCGTAAAACAAAGCTTGGGTGCTGTGGAAGCTCTGTTTCGGGAAAGACAGATACATCTGGCATATCACACCTGCAAGATTGCGTATCGGCTTGTTGTGACAAGTTTTCTTGGCTGTATACTGTGGTTAGCAAGAAGGAGTAAGACATACAGGTTTCTCTGGTGTCAGTAAAAACCATGTGTCTGAAGTGGAACGGCAAGCTGTTCCCCAGAGGTATGGCAGGACGCCGTCCGCAGAATACAAAAATAAACTCCACTACTTCAGCATTAGTTTCAAAATTTCACTTGTGTTATTTCATCATTTGGTCTTGAGACCACCTGAATTTGATATTCAAATGCAAAACGCGTTTGTGCTACAAAGCACTTCTTGCAGATCACTATTCTCATATTTTACCGTGCTTACGGACAGATGCAGTAAAATTATCAAATACTTCCACGAGTAGAAAAAAGCAAAATAATGCAAGGGGAATGTGGGTTAATCGGTAGTAGATCTGTGGGTAAATTGCTAACTACTATTCGTACGGTATTCTTCAAATAGCTTTTAAAACAGATTTTTTTTAAAAATGCAACACCAAATGTCAAAAACATTTGTTAACGAGTGTTAACTCGTCAAAGTTAACACTTTAAAAACTTCTCTCATATTGTCATCTCAGGTTGTTCAAAAATCAAGTCATAATCCTTACGTTAGGACTTAAGATAATTTATTGAGTACCTATAAAAGGTTTAAAATTAAAAAGACAAAGGGGAAAATTTCAGACCATTTTCACTGAACCACTGACAGCCAGGCACATGCGGCCAGCAGATTCTACTTGAAAGATCACTGCTAACCGTACAAGATAGTAAATTTTAAAATCTCCCTGGTATTTTCCCATGTGTACACAATCTTCTCAATAGAAATAACTATATATTAATCCATATCAGGGGAAACATTTTAAGTTCCAGGCAATGTTATCCAACTAGATTTTGCAAATACTGGAATAAAGTATTACAACTTTCCTGCCACATAAAGCACCATTCTAATCCGGAGCAAAAGAGCCTCGTGTTACCCAGAGAACAGACCTTTTCTGGCACACAGGTCATTCAAGCAGCCGTCGAGTGCTCTCTCATACAGTTTACTGGTTTGACAATACCAACACCATGCTTTCACTACCTGAAGAAAGTACCTCAAGCTATTCTGTTCTCGGGAATATCTAGTGAGAACCTAAGTCGCAATTCTGCCTGACCCAACAATATAAACTGTTGTGTTACCAGCTGCGAATCGGCAATCCACAGCCTTCTACAGATATACCACTCCTCTTAATCCTTGAGGTCCCTGTTCAATTTGTCGGCGTGCTGGCCCAGAGGAACTCGCCGTGATGACACTTCAGAAGGGTACTTAAACAAGGAAACCCTTCCTAAGGATACCGTGAGGGAACAGGAAGCCTGAGCATATGCTGCTTGGAACCCCAACAGCGTTGTCATCGTGCCTTTTACTGGCTGGAGGAACCAAATCTTACCTGGTCCCTGTCTACCCACCTCCACCACAGGAGGTAATTGACTCCGTAATGTCAGAACTGCTGCACACCTTTGCTTTTACTATTCAAATCTTTCCAAGTCAGTACAAAAAGAGTGACAAAAATTATGACTTTTCAGCTGCTTCTAATATTCACTTTAACAGAAAAAGTTTTCAAAAGATTACTATAGAAACTTAGGATAGTTCTTAGAAGAGAACATCTGTGTATCTCCAAGTTGCACAATTCTGTACTACAATCAATCGCAGAAGATTTTGTAAATCTAAACTGCTGAAATGGCTATTTGAAAAAAAAAAAAAAGAGAGAACTATAAATTAGTTCATGAAGAATTAACAGATACAGGTCCTTGTAATGAAATGCTTTGTTAGATGCTCTAGCAAAATCTGTGAGTCACTATTTACCATTATAACTGATAAGCTTTAAAGCTAGATCAGTCCACCTAGGAACAGAGGCATACAATAGAACCCAAACGTCATCCAAGCTTGTGCATCAAGGATTACACTTCTGTTCCACCAAGGCAAGTTGATCATTACAAGGATAAGCCTTGAACTTCAGCTTAATGACGAGCATATAAAACCTAAAATTCACTAACAACCTCCTTTTAATTTATTTTCTCAAGACAGACATCTTGAACAATATACGCCCCATTATCTATTCATATTTGCATTAGGTGATATTGGCAAAAATATCAATATCTGTAAAAGATGTTAAATGCTCACAAAGATTTTCAATCATTACACATTCACATTATATCTCAATCTAAAAGTTTGCAAAGAATGTGCATTCCAAAACAAAAATCTCACTAGAATAAAATTCCTTTATTCATCACCAGTTTCCTAAGAAATCTTTTAAATTATCATCAAAATTTTAAGTCAGCTTTATAATGAGTTCTCTTTACAAAATATACTTTGCAATTCTTGCTAGTTCTATGAGACATTGAATAATTGAAACTAACTCTACCAGCTCACTTGCAGCACATCATTCATATAATTTTAGTCATTCTTCTACTGTTTTTTTTCTCTCCACAAAAAGGGTACTACAACTCCTTAGAAAGGATAAAAGAAATCAAGCAGTACCAACTCAACCCGTTTACGCTTTTATCACTGATCAATATACCCTATTGTAAAAATGGAACGTCACTATGGTAACCTTAGGAACTATAGTAGTGGATCAACGAAAGAATTTTTTAAAACTACGTCCCCCAAATATGGAATATAGTTACCTGATCTTCTTAAAATTAATCTGAAATAAGTTCTCCTTACGCTACAGTAAGCAGAAGCACATGCAATTAAAAATATGCATATAAAGTGAAACACCTATTCATTCATTCTTCTAATGAATTTAAGGGTCATAAGTGCACCTACTGCAATTATTTCAAAAGAAAGGAGAAAGAAGACTACACAAAGCAAACGGTCTTCTATTACCAATATTACAGTCAAAAAATTCAAACAAATTAAAAAAAAAAAAAAAAGACAGCCCTATAAAATACTAGTCAGAATGACTTAAAATCAGTTAACCATGAAGGAAACTAACACTTCTGGCTTTATATTCAAAACTTGGCAGTAGCTAAGCTCATAAAAACAAGCTTATCCCATTTGAATATTCTTGATTGTACAATTACACGGAAGAAGTAATCCTTAACCTAGATCTGATTTATAACTCACATGACTTGTTATAAAATGAGGGCATTGAACTAGTGCAAATAACCAAAAATCCAGTGTTTGAAGACTACTCATATGCTGTTCACATGAAAGAAATATCAAAGCAAGATTTAAGAGCTTTATCTCACTTTCATATGAAAAAGCCCTAGTATTTTATAGCAGTATTTTAAACCAATGAATTTGTTTATCAATCAATAAATCATACCTGTACTCTGGTTAAAATCACCAAGTTTAAAACACACCTTTCTTCATTAATCAATCCAAGATATTATAAATAGATCAAACCATTTTTTACAAAGTTCAGTTTATCTAAAAATAAAGAGTGACAACTTTCCACCCATTACTTGTCTTGTAAAGTGGGTCATACAAAAAAAAAAAAAAGCAGCTAAGACCCACCAGTAATTAACAACCAACCTTCCAAAGTCTAACCCTAAGAGTAAGCTGAAGCACTCGAACCTCAAGCAGCTCCACTGAAGACTGACACCAACATAATAAAGCTACTTGCAGGACAACCAGAACATATGACACGGACATCTGTGGGACAGTGCATTAATTTTTTTTAAACCTAACTATTACTGTGCATCCAGCTAACAGAAAAAGCTCTCAGGTCCCAACTACGATCGTATTAAAACTATGTAATTTTAGAAAGTAAACCCAAATACTCAATCCTAACACTTTATATATGCTCTTGAATGTATATGCATACATTTTCAGATAAGAATGGATTGGCAGTTGTCCCACATTAGCTTTCGTAACAGACATTCCATTATGCCCTGCCTAATTTACAAGGAGATTTTGGTAACAATTTTGGGTTTGGGAGGCAGTTTTTATTTGTACAATTTGATTGTGAATTATAAACTTGAAAGACTGCAACCAAAGCTGTAAAAGGAGCAGCAGTATAATGAGACGACACGTAGTTGAATACGCTATGATTCAAGTGTTCACTTTCAACAATTCAGCACTGAGTTTAATTTTCAGTGTTTGCTTTTGGGGTTTTCCACAGAAAACATAGAAGTCTATTAGCTGACCTCAGCTGCATGGCAGATCGCTGTACTGAAACGCTAATTTTATAATGGAAATGTCAATGTGTTAGGATATTTGATTATCTGGTCTCTAAAATACCACTTTCACTGAAGTCTACAAAGGGTATTTTGTTACTAACAGCATGTTGTAAAAATATCTGAACAGTTCATAAAACTCTGCAAATAATCTTAAAACTGTTACGGGCAGGAGTCTGGTGAAGAGCTTTTTTCCTACACACATAAAAATAAAATAGAAACAAATAATCTCACTCAGTGTGAATTATCAAGTTCACTTTTTACTAGCTAAAAACTTCTCAAAAATTGGATCTTAGCATGGTATTTTTTTTTTAAACAGCATAAAGAACAGAACAGACAATGGGATTAATCTAGGCAGACAATCTTTATGACGATTCCTGATCTGTAACTAGTAAAGTCTCTGCAGAGAACAGAATTACCCCTATTTAAAATAATTTTTTGTTCTAAACCTCACAATATTTGTAGATACTTTCTGTACAATGAAAATCTGTACTTAACTCATTGCATTAGAGTAATTTCTAGCAATTTAAAAACTAGAGTAAGTACTAAAACAACCTGCTTTGAGTCACGGAACTTCTATTCCAACTAGAGTCAGTAAGAGCCTACCCAGCTCAACAACTGACTTTTCGGAGAATGCAGAAATTCCCAACCCCCAAAACAGAAGATAATACAAACAAAGTTTAAAAAAGGAATAAAACAAAACAAAACATGACATTATCATGTCATTATGTCCTAAAATTCAACTTTATAATACAGTTACCCATAGACAGCATATACCTTTGCATCAGTGACACGTTAAACAGCACATACATCTGTGTGAAATCTCTTTTCTTGATCAAGATAGAGGCTGAACAAGGAAAGCCACAACTCAACTAGTATGCCAAAAGATCCCTGAAAAGTCATGGTTTCAAAGCATGTGACAGTAGCACTCTCTGAAAACACCAGACAAGGTACTAATAACTGAGAGGAAGTTAATTACTGGATATAGTTTTCAAAAAAATATTTTGGGGGAATCGCCATTAGTAGCAGCAGTATCTGCTGGTAAATACCACAATGCCCTGTGTTTACTGGCTCTTACATATTCAAAGCTTCAAGTTCGATCCTGCACCATTTCATAACTATTAATTTTATAACTATGTTTAACAATAACTAAGAGTTCCTGATACCATAGATTCACGTCTTTGAATAAAACTGTTCAGATACAGGCTCCAGGTTTTTGTAGTTCTATTGCATAGATTCCACCAACTACTTGCAGTTTCTAAGCTAATGAAAATTACACCTACCTCAATTAAGATGCTCTATTTTATATTTAGGATACATTTCTTCAAAATAGTCAATGTGTGGAGGCTGGAGTATGTCGAGGGCAGAGAGTACCTAGGAGACACCACACAAGATCAAGACCTATCCCAGGCAAACAAAAACAAATTCCTTTCAAAAAGACAGACAGACTGCACCTTTCTTACAGAGCTTAGCTTTATTCTGTCCCACACAGACGGACCAACATTCTATCTCACTACATATGTGAATTAATAGCCCACCAAGTCAGATATTCTGTACATTCAGGGTCTCTCTTTTTTTTTCATTCAATAAACTTTTTCCACCTGTTCAAGTACTGGCTTAAAAGCATAAATTTATCTACCCGATAAAAATTGATTTAAAATATATATATAAAACCATAAATATTTTAAAGAAATAATCCTAGCAAAGAAATGTAAAAGCAAAATATATTACACTTTGTTCCGCCTTTCATCTTTAAGAGTTTTGTGATACTGCTTCCACATGGGAATTACAAAACCCAAAGTTGTTCACATTCTGAATCAGCAGCTCAGCTCTCTGTGCAAAGCAAAAAGGTAGAAAAGCAGCAGCACAGAATTTACATCCTCTCACAGGAAAAAATACTACCTTGGCGTAGTCTTTTAGATCCTGTCCTAGAAATATCTATGACATTTAGGTGAAGTACACAAACTTCAGTGGTTATCTGACTGCTTACAGAGATGCTTTTATTTATAGTCCTCGGTAAAATCTTCTCCATAATGAAGACTCTGGTGAGGAGCAGTTTAAGGTACCCGTTCAAAAGAAATTTTGTCCCAGAATCCATCTCCCAAGGACGGGTGATAGTGGTGGTGGGAGTCTGCAATCTGGTACACGCTTGCAAGGCTGTCCACCTCTCTTGTGCCTCACTAACAACACTACTTATCTGAACCCAGTGCTTAGCCACAAATAAAATCTTTCTTTGAATACAACAGCCTCAGATAAAAAAAAGTAAACTTTAAAACAGGAGGAAAAGCAATGAAATAAGGTTCTGAAAGTGATATCCACTTCCTGATCCCATTCCACTGGGAGAAGATAGTGCTCCCAAGATGCTTGTTACTGCTCATCAACGAGAGAGGTTACCACATCCTCAGTTGCACTTGTGGAACAGTTTCTCTAAGTACTTTTTGATTCACTTCAGACACAACTATATGGGTCAATTAAAATAATTTTTTAAACGTTTTAACTTAACCTAGCTGATTTTAACTAAAGCAGATCTGGGAGCGCTTGCACAACCACTCTGCTAGAAGAACTGAGAGAGCAATAAACTCCAACAAAGGGGAGAGGAAGATGGAGTAAGAAATAGCTTGGAAGCAAAAGCATCTCCAGCTGGCATAGCTTTGTACAGACTGACATTTATCTAAAGCCTAAAACATGATTAGGTGGAAGTATATTGCCTGTCTGTTTGCAAACATTTTGTGAGGGAAATTATGACTATCCTTAGATTCTTGATAATTTCATTTTTATAGTGTTTGCAACAGTAACATCTGAGTTTCCAGGAAATCTGATAACCGTAAAATTAGAGAGCTTTTAAAGCATTTTAGATATTCTATAATTTAAAAGAAAAGAATACTTCTGTTATAGATAGCTCCATTTTACAAGTAGGTTTTATCAAAGACTTCAAAATTACTTTGAATTTACTTACATTGTCATGCTTAAAAAAACACAACATCTTCAACTCCCGGAAGACCCTTTTACAAGAGACCAAATTTTGGAAGACGTTGGGCATCTTTTTGAGTGCAACTCTCTTTCCATCTCGTGGATCTGTTACTGACCTACAGAATAAAAGATTTAGAACGTCACATACTACTGTTAGACAATTTTTCTAAATCAGAAAAGAATATTTTAGAGCTCTTTATCATTCTCAGATGGTGAGTCAAAACAATGTGAAGACACTTCAAGGGAAAAAAGTATTAAGCAAAGGGCATTATGCACTGTAGTGTATTAAACGTAGTGTGATCATTCTTTGATTAGAGTATGTATACTCATACCTAGTCAAGCTTGGTAGATGTTAAGTGGCTGGACACCTGTACATCAGTGCATATACTGCCTCTGACATACAGTGACATACACTGTAGCTCAAAGTCAGATCAACACCTTGAGCCGAGGAGCAGACGCGACGATAAACATCTCCTTCACCTCCCAAAAAAGACCTTATTAAGAGTTAAACATTTTCTCAGTTACACAGATTTGATTTTTTCAGGTCTACTGTTTTCTTCTTCCTCTCCTAAGAAGGCAAAAACTTTAATAAAGCCATTTGGACAGAACACTGGGAAGTGTAAGACTGTTACTTGATCTATCACTAAATCGCTTTACATCTGGAGAAGCAACAGCACATGGCATCTAAGTTTCCACAAATGTAAAACAGGCATGATACCTGTCTTTCTCCCATAGAGCTTATGAGATGCAAGTATAGTAGTTCAGAAATTATAAGGTGCTTTGCACATGGCAAGTATTTTAATTTAAAGTAATTAGATTCTGAAAATAGAATTTTATAATGAGAACCATAAAACTAGAGCAAGGAGATTCTGGTGCCTCAATTCCCAATCATGGTTTTTAAAGTGAGGCTTCTCAAACCTCACTACAAAACAGGGTTTTTAGATCTTCAGTTATGAGGAAACCTTTTTTTTTTTCCCCCTGCATATTTTTATTGGGATGACCAGAATAACTTTCTTCTCAGTGCAACGCCGTAACCACATAAGAATCTACATCCAGCTATGTACCCTGACGACTACATTTGTCCTTAAAATGTTGCCGGCTTTTCTATCATGTGACTCCTACAGATGACACGGAAGGCTTCTTTTATCTCAGGTCGATATTGGTTTGAGTACATAAATAAAAAATTAGAATGGCGTAATCAAATATCTGCCTTGTCTCCAAGTACCACATCTGACTTCAAAATACCAAACAATTCAATCAATCCAAAAAGTCAGAAGCAGCCACCGACACGAGTGGTTGGGAGTCGAAGGAGAACTATCCCAACACCTCCTGTTAATAGCCACTGCGTATTTCCATTTTAAGTAAGGAGCAGAGGGGGACTCAGGAAAGTAGATACCAGACTATTTCCAGGGTGGGAAACACAGAGCTGAAAAGAATCGGAAAAGGTCTTATAATTCACAATATGTTTCCTATTTTCTCCAGGACCTTTGCCTCTTGCCTCTAGCCGAAATTGGAAAGAAAAGGAATGAAAACTGGAGGAGCTACAGAAAATCCACTGCTAATGCAACTCAGCGCTCGCCAGTGGCCAGACTGAAACATCCTCCCTCGCACTGCACAGTAGCTTCGTTCGCAGATGACGGTTGACATCAATTTCCAAAAGAAGGTACTCTTCCTCATGCGCGGGCGACACCGCAGGCTGGCCCGTAGCTTTGGGATTACAGCCGAGGCAGAGTCTGAATGACACACAGCGGGGCCAGTACCAGGCAGTGGCTCACAAATTCATATAAATTTGATCCCAGCAGGAGCTGAGAGCTCCCGTTGCTCACAAGGTCAAGCACCACTGATCAGCTAATTAGTGGTATTCTTCTCTCTTTATGAGACAGTATTTCTGGCCCCCGCCAAGTTTTTACCAGCTATTAGAGAAAGGGGCGGGGGGGGGAAGCCACCAAACCTCTAACCTGTAAAAGACAACGTACAAGCTGCTGATTTCCTGGAATTAAATAGATATATTCTTGCTACAAAAACAAAGTTGTAGAATTTTATTCATAAAAATCCTCACTGATTACACTGCAGATGCTACTGAATTAGTAATTTTTCCCTTTGGAGTTTTGACACTAGTGCTGACCACTGCACACACACACGACAAAACACTGCTATCACGAGGACATTTAGAGCTCTGGAAGAGATTCCACTAGTGGGTCGCAGTGATGATACACTCAAGTATCATACAGATGCAAGACCTGAGACCTTTGACAACACGAAATTTCCTCACAAATGCCAGTTAATACCTAGGCAGACCACAAGCGCCTTCCACAGCTATGTTATATTCAACAGTACAGCTAAAACAATAGTTAAATAGCTATCTTGGCTATGAATAATATTTGATTTAAAACTGTCAAAATCTGAATTGTGCTATATTATAACATATGTAGCGCACACTCTACAATTCTTTTTAAATAAGGTAAAGAAAACTGAGTATGTAGATTTGTTTCATTATTTTTCCTTAGAAACGTATCTAAAAAAACATAACTACAACTGAAGAATTTTCTTTAAGTAGACACAATTGCTATTTTACACTGTAAACAAATTAATTCTCTGTAATTTATCCAATTTCTTTAAGACAGAATAAAACAGTGCTTAAGATCCAGACAGCCTATTTGAGAGAGTCTACATCTACTTCTGCCATTTCTATTACCTGTAATAAATTAGTGTGGTAAACATATATAACTTTCTCTAAAGAAAGAGGAAAAAGTCTTCATTGATCATGTCCAGGCATTGTACAACACAAAAAGAGTGTAAAGTAAAAAACAATGGCAATTTGTCTGCAGGTTTACTTTGTTGAAGAAATTAGCTGCAGCTTCGCAGCTTTCATAGGTTTATTGTTTGCTTTTTACCTCAAATTAGATAAGCTAAACGGACACTGAAATGGAGGGACCTGAAACAATCAGAAGTCACAGCGACATTTTTGAAAACGGACATGTAAACAAGTAATGCAACCTTCTATGATTGATAAAAAGCTGTCACCTGAATTTTGGCTGTTTACAGCAAGAGGAAGTCAGTGTCCATAAAACTAGTTACAGAAAGCCCGTGGTTTTGTCAAGCGCCCTTCCTCTTGTTCTGGAGACTGTAAGCTTTACAAGCTTTTTAAGCTCCTAGTTGTATATTTAGGGTGTACCTATAGCAATCAGCTTCTGAATTTGAGTAACACCGCAACAGAAAGACATCATTCCGACTAGTCCTCGAAGAACAACCTATTCTGTAAATGTTAACAAGCAAATAATGTATTAGAACCAGGTTTGAAATTTTACGGATTTTTAATATATTAAAATTTCGTAAACAGGTCAGATGTGCAATACAATTCACATATCTACGAGAAACAGATACAAGAAATTGAAAAAGTGCTTGAACAACAGGCAATTAATCAATCAATAAAAGCAGCATCATTTAAAAAAAAAAAAAAAGCACAAGAATAGTTTGCCTTTGGGTTTGGGCTTAAGGACTAGTAGGAACCAAAAGACCATAACAAAAGCTGTTGAGGAAAGTTCTACACTGCCGGATTGGCAAAACACGTATTAAAGTCCTCTCCGCTCTTCAGGTGTTTCCGTACTATTGATGTCCTGAAGGCTGTTTAGACAACACGCACCGCGGATTTGAGCGCACGAGATGAAAAGCAGGCCCGCCAAACCACGCACGTGGCCGCGTTCAGGTGTCGCCGTTGCAGCAGCACCTACAAGACGACGCTGAATTTCAGGCAGGCGACGGAGTTGTTTCTGAAATAGGATGAAACCGAGCTGCTGGGAGAGGAATAAATACCAAAACGAGTCCCACTTGCTCGTTGCTTGGTTCCTAACTGAGCAAGGGCAAATCATCTCTTTGGTACTTGAGGATTTGGATACTGGTTCTCCTCCCCCACGACAAACATCTCGGAGGATGCACGTTTCAGCAGCAGCCATACAGCTTTGGGAACCTACGCTCAGGACCTTTCGGAGTTATTTTCAATTGCCACCTTTTAACCATATTTCCGTTTAGAAACTTCCTATCTGCCTTTTTCCAAATCTTTCAAGTATAAATATTATTCCAGCAATTGACAAGAAAAATGCAATAATGTACATCATTAGATGGACCACAACACGCAGGGTTTCCAAGTTTGCACTGTGCCCTGTTAATGCTTGAAGGCAAAACTCACGAAGTACCACGTCTTGTTATTATTCATGCAAAGACCAGTCATGCTTGTAGCTGGTAACACTGTAACTCCAATGACTGTGAATGGAAGTGCAGTAATTTCACGCCATGTTGAGTTTGTTCTCTCTTAACTCCCGGTAGCAGCTGCTTTGGCTCGGCACAAACAGCACCAGAGAAGAGAGATAAGTGCCGAAGCCTTGTTACAGAGGAATGCTTTTATTTCTCGGTTGCCGAGAGGCTCGCGGGGCCGAGCTCTCCCGGTTCCACAACACACGGGTCATCCCAGCTGTAGGAGCGCAGGAATCTCGGGCTGCACCAGTAACAAACAGCTCTCAAGGCAGCTTCTGCCATCTCCAGCCGAAACGACCCCGTTCCAAACCTCTCTTTGTCTTAGCGGCCGGTTCCTTGTCAAACTCAACCGCACAGAAATTATTGGAATATTACGTACAGTGTGCTTTTAATGCATATACTAAACAAACATCTGATTTTTATGGTAACATATCTATTTACATAGTCCCAGCTAATAAAACGAGATTTCAAGTAAAAACTGCTAACATTTTCATTTTATTAGTCTAAAAATCGAACTATTAAAAACCAGAACCTACACTCGTGTAACTTTTCAATAGTGCCATACCTCCACACAAAATTACCAGAAGACCTCAAAAGATGTCCTTTTTAACTGAACTACAGATTAAAATAGTCACTCCCAATTCTAACAAAATAGAGTAACAGGATTCAGTTTTAGAATAGTAACCTGAAACATTTTCAGGCAAAGTCTGAAATTCGATACCTTATTTTAAAAGAACAGAAGTAGTCCTCTCACACTGTCCAGAATTATAAAATACAGAATAGCATTAAAGTTACTTGCATTCACTGGTCTTCAGTTGCACTGCCTCTGTAGTTGTGCCTGTGACGATTTTTAAAGCAAGCCAAT